TCTGTTTGTAATATTGTGTTTCATTACACAGAAATGACTTATTTTGTAATAATTTTCTAAAGGTGTTATAATAGTATACAGAACTAAGTCAACTAGAACCTTGTATCAGTGTATCAGGATTGGAAAGCGGATCACAGAACATAACCTGAGAACCTGATAATATGTTGAGTGCCTAATATGCTCTATTCTTCTATACCTGTTCTGAGCGATCTTCTCAGTTATGAACTCTCTTCTGCTCTATCTGGTCCTGTTTTGGGGCTCTTTTACAATGAATTTTCCATTAGAAAGGCTCTCAGGATCATCAGTCTTTCCTTGAAGGCTCTCAAAGCTGACTGGAAACTGATTGTAGAACAAAGCATTCATCTAAAACGTATCACTGACACACAAACAGCAGCATGTTCCTGGGCAATATCTCCCTATTCATTCATAGTCTACATAAAATAAATGAATAAACAAACTTAAAATTAAAGGGAGAGTGAAAGCATAAGGTCACAATAGGAAGAGAGATGATTAGAATCAGCACCATGTATATACCATGCAAGGATATCTGAGCAAACCAGTGAAAAGAGGGTTAAATTTGTCTTAGACTAGGCTAGGCTCATTTTAAGACGACAACAAAATAAATCGAAGGCCTTATGCAGGATATGCGCATACAAATGTGCCTTCATGGGAGAAAGGTAGAGAGCAAGAAGATGTTCATTTTTTAAATTCAGTACGTTAAAAAAATCATTTTACATGTAGAAGTCTGCAGTACCGGAGGAAAAGAAAGGTATTATTTATTTACAATCTTACTTAACACAAGTAGACAAGAGCTGACATTTATACCAGGCCCACAACGCTCACAGGCTATAACGGTTCTTGTTCATTTGCTCTGTGAGAGGGTTTCTTAAGATTTCAAAAATGTCTAGCTACCAACGTAAAATTCCACAATTAAGACATCCAGACTGCTATTCTTTTTTTATAACCACAATGCTTGCTGTAAGTCCTCTTAAAAATGCATCTACAAATAGAAATCTAAGTTGGTGCCAAAGGCATAATTCGCACAAGGAGGGAAAATGGCTTACATGATATAGTTATTGTAACCCCTCAACGTCAGAATGAAACCTTTGCCTAGTACAACCAAGCTTTTATTGGAAACTCTTTTCGGTGTCCAGCACCTGAAATACAGCCACGCGGTATATGCTGATCTCCATTTCTAAAGAAAGCAACTTGCAAGTCAGCTAATAGAAATGTAGCTCACCTGGAGCCAACTGCTTACTGCTCTGAATTTGCCTTTGAGTGCTGATGCCTTGGGGATCAGGCACCCCAATACTCTTGCCAGTGACATTTTTTCTGAATACAACCTTTAATAGGAAGTGTGGCCATTTTTCCAACATTTCTTTCAAGCAGCATTTTAAAGATTACAATTTTTTTTTATTCTTTAAGTTTTTGTTTGTTCGGAAGACTGCTCGTGTGCTCCATGAACGTAACAGCAGTTTCTTTTTAAAGAGCAGGGTCTGTTCCCTACATTTCATGTGTTCTCATGACCAAAGTAGCCACAGATTTAAAGGGAAAGTGACACTTAGTCCCTGCCTACCACCTCTGCCCGGGAGAATGCCTGCTGCATCTGTGAATATCAACCATGCAAAATAGCTTTAAATTAGCTCTCCTCCATTTCAGTCAATTAGATTTATAAGATTCCTTTGGCTATCAAATGATCAATACAAAATGGTTAGATTCATATTGAGTTTCCTTTCTGTTTGCCCCCACCCATAGAGCCATACTTCTCATGAAAGCAGAACCCAAGGCACTAAGCTTCAAGACCAGTCCATCATTTGACCTGACTGGCAATCAGCCAGGAGTATTCTCTGAAATCTGATGTGCCTGGGAATGGGGCGCCTAATAACGCACTAATGTATGCCAATCATTCTTGAAAAGAACTCAGAAATAGATAAGTGAGATTTCTCCATATGAGGTCCACAAGAAAACGGGAGGTAGACCTATTGAAAGTGTCTGGTGAAGGTCAAGAAACGGGAGGTAGACCTATTGAAAGTGTCTGGGGAAGGTCACCAGGGAAAATGTCAAGGGTGTTGTGACAGTACATGCCTGCTATAGTGTTCTACCCAAACAAGGAGGAAAAGGTGGAAAAGCCTTTTTTTTTAAGCTCACGAACAGTGGAGTCTTGGCCATATCACTAAAGAAGAGTATAGAAGTACAAAATAAGCACGTAGGAACAAAATCATAAAGGACAGGGCACAAAATGAAACAAAAAGTATTCTATAATGTATGAGAAGTAAGAGGGAGGCCAGGGAAAATCTAAGTTCCCTGCTGAATAGAGAGGTGAAGGTAATTGTGGATGATGGTGCAGAGGGAGGCTGAAGTATTCAATTCTTTTTTTTTTTTTTTTTTTTTTAAACTGTCATCTTCACCAAAAAGGTCAACTATCTGAGATAATAAGCAGAATTAGCATGGAGGACAAGAAATCAGGTATACAGCTTAGAATATGGAAGGAACAAGTTAAATGATTACTTATAAATACTAGCTATTTCCAAATCGGTAGGGCCTGATGAGATTCATCCTACAATATTCAAAGAATTGGGTTATGTAATTGCAGGGCTGTTGGCTATTATATTCAAGAACTCATGGCGGTGAGGTAAAGTGAAAAAAAGCCTGGACAAGGACAAATACAGCATTCATCTTTAAAAGGGGAAGACCCAGGAAATTACAGATTAGTCAGTTTAACTCCATTACCTGGAATGAGACTGGATCATGTTGTAGGGACCTTGTAGTTTACAAGGTGAGGAACATCCACCACCATGGTCATAAGCTGATGGAGAATAGGTTTAGGTTGGAGATCAGAAGGCAATATTTTACAGTTAGGGTGGCCAAAATCTGGAACCAACTTCCCAGGGAGGTGGTCCTTGCCCCTACCTTGGGCAAATTCAAGAGGAGGTTGGACAATCCCCTGTCTGGGGTCTTGTGAACCTAGCATTCATTCCTGCCTGTGGCAGGGGGTCAGGCTAGATGATCTGTTCAGGTCCCTCCTGACCCTAGCTACTATGAAACTATAAATTTGTCAAGAGTAAATCAAGCTCAAGCAACCTCTGACAGTGTGATAGGCCAATAGCTAAGGAGAAGAGTGGAGGTGATATACCTTGATTTCATTACGGCTTTCATCTGTATTTCACAATGTTCTTCTAAGCAATCGAAGGAAGTACATAATAAAACTACTACTAGTTTGAAAAACTTTATTAATGACTTGAAGGATGAAAGTGAGAGTGCATTTAGTAAATTTGTGGACAATACCGTGTTGGGTAGCCTACACTTTAGAGGGCAGGAGTTGTGAGCTAAACGGCCTTGAAAAATTGGAGAAATGGCTTCAAATAAACAGGATGAAATTCAATACAAATAAATACTTATAGCAAATGTAACGTTGTATTTAATTGCTATCACGGTTTTAATTCGCATTTTTAGTGGTAAATACCCCAAATTGATGATTAACGAGAATTCTCTTTATTCTCTTGGCTGTAATTTTCTACATTAACAATAATCATCATAAATACATAAACGCAAACACAAAGTAATCTAATTCAAAACACGACATAATGCACAGACAAACCCAAGGGATAAGCTGTCTGTTTTTGTAGTAGACCCTTCTAGACGGGATAAAATATAAACATGCTCTTTAAAAGGAAGAGACATAATGCTGTAAAATAAGATGATGCTGGAGAAAGTACATTAGTAAAGGAAAAGAAAAAAAAGGAACTCAAGTTTTAAACACTTCTCAAATGAATAATATAAATCCTACTTGATGCCAAGGATCAAAGGCATAGAGCTGATCGCACATTTATTCAGATGTAGTACTGGCATCTTTTCTTTTTCTGACTTGAAAATAGATGAGCCCCCTGCCTCTTTTCCCTCTTCCACTTTCTTGGGTTAATCTGTCTTTTTTAACACTAAAGTAGCATTCATATAAAAATTGCCAAATCAAGACTAAGGAAACTGGCTTAGTATCATGTACGCACCATGCACACACCATTCAAGTCCAAGTAACTGGGGTCAATTCCTCAAATATCTTCTTAGGAAACAGGAAGTATGATATTGCGGACAGGGTTGTCTCAGAAGTTTGTGGACCTGGCTGATGAGCTTATTTCACCACAAGAGTTAATTCCAGTTGGGCCAGTAGTACCAAGCTGTCCTGGTCTGTGCCCTGCCCTTATTGCTATTGGTGCAGCTGGGTCTATTGTACAGTAAAGATTCGGCTGAAACGACCCATGTAATTAGAGGAGGCAGCACAGTTGCTGGGTACACTGCTTTCCCAGACAACGTCCCTTCAGGTGTTTCTGTGAGCCTGCACCTTCTACCCCAGCTACTGCAGTTTGTACCATGGTAGGCGGAAAGAGCCTGCTCTAGTTTTTCTTTCCTGTGCATAAATGTGAACACTACTTAGCTTAAGATTTCTGCGCCTGCATTAGTGGGCTCAGTGGCTCAGATTAGACCCTCTAAATATCATAAAAGCTCTAAATAAATAGTACTTAATGAATAGTTATTTTCCTTAAGCATTAAATTACTGTTCAAGCTCTGAATTATAAATGATTAAATTAAAAAAGCTACTGGGTCTGAGCAGTTCATTCTTCAAATTATCAAATGCTAATGATGGTGGCTGGCAGGTTTTTCAATAAAAATTAAAAAGAATGTTACTTGAATTATTATATGGAATTTATCAAAAGTATGTCTATAATACCAACTTGTTGACTGGCATAACTCTATTTACTGCAGGGGAGTAAAATGTGCAAAAACCCCCTCAATCCCTTAGCTTGAACTCCTGATTGACTAAAACAATTTTCCTTGTCTTGTAAGCAACCCCGAAGTACAAACTAGTGACAGGTAGTAACATTTCTCTTTCAATTATTAACATCCCTATTCTTGGTCAACAGCTCTTTCTGAATTTGATTAAATTATGTTATAAAGGATAAGAGGTGCACAGTATGTTGTTCTGCCCATTTATCATTTAATCTTACCTCAAATTTCTGTCTCAGCTCTACATTTCCATCTTCACCAGCATCTGGAATTGGGACATTATAATATTCACCTTCTTCTTGATTAAGCAATTTGTACCTATGGAATATATAGGGAAAGTTGCACTAACTTAATTTATTTTCTCATCAAAAAACATGTTTTAACTCCTGATATGAGGTCTCTCTGAAAACATATGGTGAAATCCTGGCCCTACTGAAGTTGAGAGAGGTAGAAGACAGGGTAGATATGCACCTTAGAGACTAAAGGAAGGTCTTGAAATAAGATGTATGTAGAGCACAAGCTTTCATAAACAACAGCTTACTTCATCAGATGCTACGAAGGGACTGCATAAACAGAGAGCAGAATACTGCAGAATATTTCATTTGGTGAATTTGATAAACTTAGCAGAATTACCAGCAAAACTTCCACCCAATAGGGCTGTACATTTATCGTCCAGTGTTGCAATAACCTAGCAAAATTATTTTAGTGGGTTTTCAGTGGACACACGATTAGGAAGAAAAAAAAAGAGCTAGACAAGCATTTAGACAAAATGACTATTTGTAAAAACAGTTACCGTTTACTTTAAAACATGCAGATTCACATTTATCAGGATATACTTAGAGCAAGATCCCTGTAATGAAAATCAAACTTGGGCTCACTGTACTCAATTCTGTCTTTACAAGGGAGTTTGAAATAACTGCTGGCTGCAAGTAGAAACTTTGTGCACCATGCCTTTTGCTTTGAGTATTTAAACAGTATTAGTTACTTAAGTGTTCAGTTTTAGTTAGATGATCAAAGAATTTATAGCACATGAAACGGGGCAAAAATCTTATAAGACTCATGGTTACGTTACTGAAAATCTGCTGTGCAACTTCTCCAAAGAGTTGAAAGCAATTCTCACCATCCACTTGCTGGCATTTTCATAAGCTCCGATACCCCAAATGAAAGAGATCCCATAAAATCGTTTCTAGTTGTTCGATCCCAGTCCCAAACTTCTACAGATAACCGTCGATCTTTGTCTGTAGGTTTTAATTTACTACAGAGAAAAGGAGGAAAATAAGAAAAGTATTGGCAACATTTAATTGTTCAGAAATGTATATATAGTTCAGAAATATATATATAGTTAAAACGGGATCAGACTTACAATGTAAATGACTCATTCCAGTGTGGGTTGAGAGTGGAACGGATGGTTTTTGTTTTTTGTTTACTTTCATTCTTAGGGTCAGGGATGAGCTTCAGCTTCACATATGGATCTGAAAGTCCATTTGGATCCATGGGGATTAAGTTTTTTGCTTCTCGTACTGCAGATATAAAATATATATTTATATTAAGTATATATTCATAGAAGATAAATAGTTTGCTGCTATTTGCATAGGATTAAAAACCATCATTGACAAAAGAATAAAGTTCAGAAGAGAATGATTTTAACTTTGTTGGAAAATAAAAATAAATAGCATGCAATTAATGCAAAGCCCATTTATCAGAGATCTAGGTGCTGTGGACAAGACTTTCATTGTCATAGACTGAGGAGCATTTATGAACATTTCCTTCTACCCTGACCATAGCAGAAAGAAAGGGTAGGATGAAGAGCAATATCCTTATATACAAGGATACCACGGAGTTGTGTCCAACTCCAACGCCAAGAATTTTTAAGTGGGTTACAGCCGTCTTTGCTTTTACCAGCTTGGACAAATAGCAGCATTATATAACATTTGCTGCACTTGCAAACATTAAGAAAAGAGAATTTATGAAGTCTGAGAAACAATAGACAGATATCCCACGTGTTCAGTTTCTCAAGTCATGAGACCCAGCTCACTGCATTCAGCAGCCTATAAGAGTAGGATGCCTTTAGACATGGTAATACTTTTACTGTAGAAAGATGTTAAACTGCCATCAAAAAATAAAACTGCTGAGTAGACTTTAGGAAAGTTATTTGAACCCTGTGAACAGTTTGAAAACTGGCTTGTATACAGCAAAAGTGTTGAATTTAAAAACTGCACCTTTTTAGATTTTTAATTTAAATATTGAATGCGAATCATTCAACCTGTGCTGAGATGCTTTACTTTGCAATTACCAGCTGTCAAACACAGATAAGAGTGAAACTGGTACAAGCTGACACGCTGCGTAATTTCATAATAATAGAGTTTGTCAATTTATGAAACGATCAACACATCATTTGACTTATTTACTTTGGGTCTAGTGGTGCAATATGCTTGAAAATAACACCACCCAATAATATAAACCACAGAGAAACCTCTGTAATAATGTTAAGAAAGCAAACTGCACAGAAATAGATCATGTTGATGGAGGGCACAATTTGGTTTTAATTAATAAGGTAACAAAGTGCTCTACAGAAAGTATTACAAAAGGGAGCTGGACCCAACTTCAGAACTGGTCAGCTACTTTTCCCAACCAAGACTATGGGCGCCTCTACACATGCTCCTGGGGTGAGGCACTTTAATTAGAGTCGGTCTGAGAGCCACTCTAATTAAAGCGCTCACAGCATGTCGTGTGTTCAGCATCCTGTGGTTCAAAATGACAGTGGGGGCACTTTAACTAAAGGTTGCTCAATGAACTTTAGTTAAAGTCGCTGGCATTTTGAAGTGCGGGGACACTGAATACACGAGACACAGCGGCTGCTGGAGCACGCTATTTACCATGGCTCCAGCAGACTTAATTAATCGAGTCTGCTCCGACATGCTGTAATTACTGCCACCAGAGCAGTGTCCCTGCATGTCTACAGGCAGCTAAGTGACTAAAATCCTGAGGATGACTCGGGTGTGAAGCCATGTGGGCTTCTTGGTCAAGAAGGACAAACACCTGGGTCCTTGCAGCCTCTTTTGGCCGGGGAAACAGCTCTATTTGGTTATTATTTTGTGAGCTGTCCATTTGGAGAATAAAACTACACCCAGATGGAGAGGCCTGAAAAATTCTGGGGTGTGGTGCTAGATCCTCCCAAGCCGTGGATACAAACCAGCTGCTTGGAGTGAAGGACACTGTCATGAAATGATTATGTGTTTAGTTATAGCTCTCATAATCCCAAGCATTAAACAGTGTTTTGTTTGGCAAGGACACTGGAATCCTGGACAGTAACCAGAGCCCCGCAAAAGGGACTTTGTTTTTACTTAAAAGATGTTATAACATGCCTCAAAATTGTCCGGCACTTTCAAACGGTCCGTGCAAGTCCAAGACCAGGTTAGGAGTCCAATCTATGACTTCCTGCTTAGAGAGATACTGGACGGCTCCACCTAAGCCATGAAGGCATTTTATAATGTGCTGTTTACTCTCAAAATTTACAGAGTGCGAAGGGGACAGCCAACAGTCAAATGACTTGTGAACCAGTCATGGGGCCGTTTTTCAGAATTTCTTGTTTTCCTTTTTGGAAATAAAGACGTGATTGTGGTAGATTTACAACAGTACACTGCATTTCTGTCACTCAGAAAACAGACAATGGTAGAAAAACCTAAGACAGATGTTAGAGAAAATGGCCTGAAATACAGAATTGTTAAAAGCTGACACAATAGCCCTACTGTTGAGCATTAAAAGTGCTTTACAAAATGAAATAACTGCACTGTTCGGTACCAGGCATTCTGTATCAATAGCTAAAGTTTGTAAAAGTCTGTACTTTAAATATTGGTCAACTGCAAACAGAAAAATATATTACAAAATTAAAATGGTAACGGTGCAAGGAACAGACCACTGTATAATAAACATTTCTATGCAGCTGTACTCAAGAAATATATTTATGCCTCTTGCTTGAACTGAGCAATGCTGCTTGATCTGCTCAAATTTTACAATACTTTTTAAAGTAACAAGGAAAATTAAAAAATAGAGCACAGATGATTCATTAAATCCCCTTAAATCCGTACACATAAAGAAACATTATAAAAGGAAAATAAAGCATTAGCTGAATAAAATGAACTTGTTCAAAACATAAATGCCTAGTTAAAATAGGCTAGATGGCTTAGAGCCAGATCTGGCCCATGGGTCTTCCCAAGGGTCCAGAAATTTGGCGGTAGAAAAGCAGTGGCAGTGTTAACTGCTATTCCCTTACTGCCAACTTTCTGGACCCATGGGGAGCTCATCAGGCATGGTGACATGACAACCTGGTAGACCACAGCTAGCAGGTGGGGTGGCTCTGTGGTATTACTTTGCAGCTGGATCAGGTACACGGATTCAGGCCACACACAGGCTTGAGCCAAGATGTGGCTGAATCCAGCACATGGAGTTGAGCTGTGCATGGGGTCAAACCAGCACACGGCCAGATCCAGCACATGGATTTGGGCTAACCGTGTGGCCAGATCTGGCCCATGAGTTCAAGCCATGCATGCGATTGGGGCAGTGTGCTGGATCACATGTGGACTGATCCTGTGCATGGGATCTGGCCTGCAATCCAGCTCTGCACCACTTCTCTGGTCTGCAGGACCAGAAGGTTGGGTGCTGCTTGCCTAAAGGAAAAAAGTACTAGGTTGGGAGTCAGAAAGCCAAATTATGTTACTAGCTCTGCCAAACCTGCTATATAACCTAATGCAAGTTACTGTGCTTCTATGCTTTAGTCTTCTCTGCCACCATTTGTCGATCTTGTATACAAACACTGTACGCTCTTTCGTGTCTGTGTTGTGGGTGTGTGCATTTGCATTCAAGATCTGGCACCATGGGGACTGCAGGAGCCTCAAAGCATTATTATAACACCAAAATAATAATTAGAAAAAAAGACAACATTATAAAAACAAGTCTTAGTGCCAAACTGTAATTGGCACCAGTTACTTTCAGGATGAAAGATTTTTTTTTCCACTTCCATCAAGTATATCTGCACTTCTTTGGAAGATATTAATGAGTTGTATTCTACAGCAGCACCAGATAAGGTTAATAGGGGTGACAACAGAGTGAAATAAATGCATTATATTATTTCAAAGCTATTCACCTGTGACACCCTCACAATTCTAAGTTTATAATAAATAAATGCTTACAACTTATACTACGATTAAATATTCAGAGCACTTAATAACCTCCTCACAATTCTCCTGTGAGGTAAGTAATTATAATTCCCATTTTACATATGAGAAAATGAGCATAAGAGAACCTATTTCATCAAAGTACTTTGCTTTGCTCAAGCAGGGCCTCACTAACCAAGCAAAAGCCAGCTGGGATTCAAAATCAGGAGTTCCTTGTCCCTGTTCTCTGGCTGGGCCTCCAAAGTATATACCCACCTTCTACTTGAGAGTCTTAATGGTTTGTCTATGATGGCTGTTTGCATCTTCCCAACACATGAACACCTCACTTTTAAAATTAGATTTAACACTGCATTAGATTTAACATTAACTTCCTTCCTCACCAGCACAAGAATAGCCTGATTAGTTGATGGATTTTAGTCTATGCATGTGAGAGCAAGACGTTGGAGTCTATGAATGTGTAAGAAATTGAAGGAAAACTGTTGCGGCAATGAGTTATATACTGGATCAGAGGAAAGCAGCACCAAAAGGGACCTCACAGTGTCATCTAGTCCAGCCCCCTGCTCAAGCCAAGATCACTTTGACACTAAAGAAATTTGGCCTGTTGAAGGACAGCAATAAGTCTCATGCTCAATAAATACTGCACTTCAATATATAGTGCAGCTGGGACCATTTAGTTTTGGATAGTAGCAGATCCAGGAATGGGGCAAGGGGTTGTGGACCCTTCCCACTTTGGCTGTGCTGCACTTCCAGAGCTCTGTGAGACCGGTGAGCTCAAAGCTTGTCAGACGATTCGGGCAGGGGCAGGCCAGAGCCCCTGGTTCTGCATGGCTCTGGAGCCCAGAATGTGAGCGCTGTGGCCTTCCCCTCTCTTCCACTCTCTGCTGAACATAGCAGCATGAGAAACTTGACCCCCGGGCTCCAGAGCCACAGGAAAGCAGGGGCTCTGGCCAAACCCCACGCCAAGAACTCGTGTGTTTCAGATTATAAAAGTTCAGGGTCCTGTATTCATTAGCTTCCCCCATGGATAGCCGTTACAGCATTTGTTTGGAACATAGTTGTCATGGGAGGTCATGGTGATCATCCAGGTAATAAGAGACGGTATATTCTGACTGCCAAGAAAGATACGCTGACTTGGATCCTTTAAAAAGGAGTCTTGAAGGGAGGGAGGGGAAAGGAAGAAACAAGAAAACATCATATAGAGACCATGTAAATCTAATGTTAGCATTTTAAAAGTCTTAGAAAAGAGAGCTATAGTTTCAAGGTTCGTGGTACTTATTGTGAATGCAATACATAGAGTGTCCATTTGGAGGGACTGTAAGACTATAATCATTCTCGTAGTAAAACAGAAACCCTGATGAAAATTATGTATGAAAATCATCATCCAGGCTGGAAAGGAATCTATCGGTCTAGCCCTAAAATTGATATTTACAATTTTATTTTATATTTTTTTATTTTATCTTTAAAAATAAAGGTGAAAAATCATAGAACAAGTGTAAGCAAAGCAATATAATCCTATATGAACTACACATATAACCTAACTGCCTCAGAAAAGTAACTGCCACAGTTGTCTAAAAATGCTGGCTAAACTACATACACCATAAACAAAGATACTTTCTGCAACCCAGCACATTCTGGATGTACAGCTCTCTCGCTTTTATGCCATATATATGCCCAGAAAATGTCTTGCCAAGCAGAAGATTCAGCCTGCCTAGATTTTCAGAAAACGGAGGCATCTACTTCATTGTAAATAGCACTACCTGACCTTTTTTTATAAAGAAGTGATTGAGCCACCATTCACGTTAGCTTCCCAGGTAGAATTTAAAACAAGACAGCTGAGTGAAACAAGCTATTTTCATATAACAATAGATGAAAACTAAGCAAAAAGCAAAACAACTGTTGGGGTATTTTGCTCAGATTCAACTGGAAGAATAGATAAAAAGCAGCAGCATTTCCAGAAGTGACTATGTCTGAAGAGGAGGTGATTCATTTTTAAACCCTGTGAGAGCCGTGCGCATTCAACACCATTCAAGATCAAGCTGATAGTCTTGTATGTAAAAACAAGATTGTGTGGAAAAGACACCTTCCGGTGGGGGAAAGACTCCTGCCCCTATACGCATATGTTATGCACTTTATCGTGCATCAGCAGATGCATGACGAATAGGTCCAAGGAGTTGATACTTCCCCTCTATCGGGTGCTGGTCAGACCGCAGTTGGAGTACTGCGTGCAGTTCTGGGCGCCGCACTTCAAGAGGGATGCGGATAACCTGGAGAGGGTCCAGAGAAGGGCCACTCGTATGGTTAAGGGCCTACAGACCAAGCCCTGCGAGGAGAGACTAGAGAAACTGGATCTATTCAGCCTCCGCAAGAGAAGGTTGAGAGGCGACCTTGTGGCTGCCTATAAGTTCATCACGGGGGCACAGTCATCTGACCCCAGCTCTCTTCCCTGCCTATGCAGGGGGTCGGACTCGATGATCTACTGAGGTCCCTTCCGACCCTAGCATCTATGAATCTATGTTCCCTTTTTCTCTCTATAGTACTCAAGGGTCCATTCATCAAATAATTATCTGTACTATTGACTTCAAGACTTCTCACAGTGGAAAAAACAGAGAGACTGTAAGAGTGCTTACAATGTTCTACAATAAGACCTGTGGGAGTGGGACTAATTGTACAAGGAGCATGATATGAATTAAGAGCAGTATTTGGCCCATCAACGTTTCACAGACAGTCTCTGGCCATAAAAAGAATATGAATATAAAAATCTAAATGAAAGAATATAACGAGTACATTTGCAGCTGAATTTGTGCAATAAGCCAAAGCTTTTCAGCAGTTTTTATCGATAGTGTTGGTCTGACCGCCCACACTTCTCCAAGTCTAGGGACCGGATGCTCTCGCTGGAGGGCCTGTTTTTCTAGGACTTGCTGCCCGTGACACATTTCAGATGTGGCTTTCCTCTGCCTTCCCTTCCCTCCCGAAAGAATGAAATGAGATAACCCCTGTGTATGTGCTACTTCTGCCCCTCTTTACCGGTGCCAGGAACAACAGGGATATTTGGAAAGTAAGTGGGAGGCTTTGAGCGAGAAAACAACTGCTCTCTCCAGCTTCAGACCGGTTCAGGCTGAGATGGCTTGAAACTGGAGAAGGGATGGCTCTAGTTGTTTTCCTCATCTTCAGATGATCCTTTTTTTTTTTTTTTCTTTCCTTCTCAAAGCTTTGTACATAAGGTTAGACACTGAAAAGATTAAATGTCCCTCTCAGTTGCTGAAGAAATGACCCATTTATGTTACTGTAATAACTTACTATAAATGCTCTTGAGAGGTCTATGAGGAATTAAAGGTGGAATACTTTCCTTCACTAAACCATTACAGTTCAATGAGCTATGGCCCCAGCAAAACATGAATGAGATGGGATAAGTGAAGGCTGTAGTGGCAGGCAGACTCCCTCTTATCCGTGTCAGAAAGATCCCCAGCTAAACATTATCTTTGGTTCTGTATGCATAATAGCAATTACTCAATTCACTTGCACCTGTTGTATTAATGTAGTAACTGTACCACTTCCTCACAATTTGGGCCTCTAGTGGAAACAATTTTATGACTTGTATTCTTACAGTTTAGTTTAAGACATGAGAGAACCTGAAGACATTATACTTGCCGTGTATAAAAGCTTACAACATGCTGTAAACAGTCTCAACATGCTCATGAACGCTCCTCTTCAATCATTTTTAACGGCGTGCTCATCCTAATTTTCTGTTTAACGTCCACTGGGGACACCTGGTGTGAAACCAGGCAGAATTTCCAGATATTAGTTACGCTGATGCAGAATCATTCTCCGAGGCTCAACTATGGAGAGCTCCCCGGAGAAAGAAATAACTGAGTAGCCTGGGCACGTGCTGCGGAGTTGAGGTGGCACCGACAGCAAGGGGACATGGGAACATGTGCAAGACTATTCCCCCCCTCCACAGCAAACACTGGCTGGAAAAATAGAAACCAACCTCCAAAAACAACAGAGGAGGAGTGCAAAGATGAATCAGGAAGGAAAGACACAACTCTATACTAAACACAGGCTGCTAAAGGGGGAAAAAAAAAAGCCATTATCTTGCTGCTGCTCGTTTTGAGAGGTCTGGCCTATTTGTATTTGTGTCTGTATAATTAGTACCCTTTGACATCTCTTTACAACAGATCGAGCATTTCTTTTCTTGAGGGAACAGGATGATGATACTCGTGCTGAACAGAGCATGCAAAGAACGCCGGTCTCGCTGGCCCACCTCTCCGACGGTCTCCTATTTTTAACAGGACAGGTCAAGATCCTGTTCTTCAGGAAAAAGAAGAAACTACCCCTCCCCTTTAGAGCAACACCTTTGTGTGTGCAATTAAAACAGAATAAGTCAAATCAAAAACAACCCAGAGAAAATGAATGAATAGTGTTTTTTCCAAGGCTGCCTCCCACATTGCAAATCGCATGCGAGGAGCCACATTTAATCCAAAAGATCTTCCTTTGTCTTTGAAATGACCTTTTACAAGCCTGAATGCTTTAAACCACGCTAGAAGGAAGTACTCTTTGTTACAAGCCAATAATAAATTTCCTGAATAATTAAATCAAGAGACCAAGGACTACTACTCTGATGAGTGATGCAATACAATTGCATAGGCAAATAGATTATAATATCACAAGCTTTGTTACTCTACTACCATCTCATTGACAGCCCTAATACAGAAAAATATCAAAGAGCATTTTCATTCCCCCTTGCCTTTCTTGTCCTGTCACATTCATTGGACATGAGCTCTATAGTACCCGTCAGCTGTTACAAAGACAGCAAGATATTAATCATTTCAACTTTAATAACTATGTTTTCCCTGCCCTGTACAAACTTCCATAAACAACCCTTAAAATGGCTTTAAAAACATAAATCAGTCTTCACCATACCACTACTAGATAGGCAAGAGTTAATCCCATTCATAAATGGGTAAATGGAGATACAGTCTTGTTCATAGCTTTACAACACATTCGGATTAGGCCTGCTTCAGTCCCCTGCAGACATGCACCTGTGCACCACACTAGCAAGCAGTTTTCTGAGCTAGTCAGGGTCAAACCTATATACTGAATTCACAAAAAAACCCAAGTAGCTTGGACAGGAGACTAAATTTATCAAACTTCATATATTTATTTTAGATCAGGCTTAAGGATGCTGACAGAAGTGTGTAAAACAAGGTGGTCCCTAATTTTTCTCCCACAGAAACTAGAAGAGTTTCCACAGCTAATAGTGAATAGTCAGTCCACAGTGCCGAGAAATGTATTCACTTAACAGAACATCTCTATAACATCACAACATTAAGCTGCTGAATTTGTTTATTCATCAGATGAGCGTGTCTATAAAATATTCTGTTTTAATTACTGTCATTTTACTAACCGTGCCGCCGCAACCAAGTTTCACATACCGCTGTGTTGAGGAGAGCACCGCATTTCCAAGTGATGGGGTGACCACCTTTCAAGAAGTAAAATCCAGGACATGCTCTTCTAAGAGGAAACAGCACAAGGCTTGACGTGCCTCCAGGACTGGGAGCAGTTTCCCTCGCTGTTGGCTGTGGGTAGCTTGGCCATCACAGCGTTGTGTTATAGAAACCTCCAGCAGAAACACGGTAGCTGCATTCAAATGACTTGACAAGCAGAGCTAATTAGTCTTGAGTGCAAGGTATGGCTAGACTACTACATTGGCTCTGGGAGGCAGCCATGGGCTAGCATTGTGTTGTGTCCTTACAGCAGGATGCTGCCTGGTGTGAATCTAGGACCAATTTTTAAAGTTCAGGGGGAAAATGTCCCTTTTCAGGGTGCCCTCTAGCACATGGCTCAAAATTCAGGACTATCTTGGAGAATTAGGGACGGCTAGCCACATTAGCCTACAGTCTAAATGCACATCTAAAAAATGTAACAGATGGGATCATCATCCACCTCTTGCGTGAAGATGGAGAATTTAAGCCCAGATAAGTGGGGAAGCTGCCTAGGGCTGCAGGAAGTTGATTAAAAGTGAAGAATCAAACTCTGAATTCTCCTTAAAGATATAAGGATGTGGATAGAATAATACATAGTTCTAGGTGTGTAACCACTTGTGGTGCAAACAAAGAATTTTTCCTCTGGAAATTAAATGTGGAAATGGCTGAATAAATCTTTCTTCCCTCTCAGCAAGACTAAATAACAGCCTATGTTTACTCAGTTCCTTTTCCAGTGAGTCACTGCCACTTTTTCCTGCATTCCCACAACTTTGATAATAATTTAGTTTACTAAAGAGAACAGTCACTATTTCCTCCTCCCTACATAATAATTCCTAAATCGGAGCCACTAAGCCAAGCTGAAAAGAGATGTCCACTCAAGTAAAAGTGAAAAATCCTGTGTGGCACTTATGTGGTAGGACAAATATTACTCCTACAAATCCTCTTTATTTCCCTGAGCAGAACAGTCCAGTGATTTGCCTAGCAGGAGGAAGTCTGGCTAAGAGCTTTTGGCTCCCTCGTCTCTGCTGGGATCATTCTTCTTTCTCGTTGCATGCCATACATATGAAAAATCACATTCCAGTTCTTATGGGCTGGATGACCTATTACTAAGGAAGGTTTTGCTTTGAAACCTTGCACTAGTATTCTTTGCATGTGAACCAACGTGTGCATTTTTTAAACTGCCCCACTGAGGGCCTCTATCATAACTATCACATTGAAATGTTTGCCCTGAGTAGCTACTTGCAAAACTCAATTGTACAATCAGCACCAAAATGATCTGTGCATGCTGTGCTTCTTTTGCAGCATTTCTAATTTCCACATAGTTCTTCCCCACTAAGAAGTTCTCTAATGTAACATTTTTCTCTAATATACGACTGTTCCCTGATCAGCTAAACTCTCCTTTAATATTCCTTCGGAGAGCAATGCCTCCTTATTACTTTCAGGTTTCCCCGGACCTGAAGTATGATATGTGGAGAATATTAATATTGGCATTTGGTACGCACCAAGGTCTAGTTCTAGAATACCGCAAAAAATGACCTACTTTTGAATACTGTATTGTTCCAATGCCTCTATTCTTTCTTATAGCCAGAAAGATTTCACATAGCCTATGGTACTGTTTAATAAGAACTTGCATCCACAAGAGTTTCTGCTTTAAAGTCACACCCAGAAAAGTGTACTTTATGCCACAGCCAGAGATCTTTTGTGGGTTGATGCACATTTAGCATGCATTGTTAATTTACCCCAAACTATTGCTAGATAGGACAACTTTTCAGTGAAATGTGCGTTTTTAACAGGAAAATCACCTCCTTCACAAAATAAAGTTTCCTGGAAATTATTTTAGATCATTCGATTCTAAATGCAATTACCTCTATCCTTCTGTTTATTGACTACACACTTTCACAGGTTTTAGCAGGTGTCATCTCATTTGGGTATCACTGGACCTTTAGTCTAGGGACAGAAATTACACATAAACCAGTTTAAGTGATCGGAAACCGGATTAACCCTGTAACAGAACAGAAGTTCCGTGTACATAAACCGTTTTCAAACCGGTCAACACTGGTTTAAGAAAAACCTGAATGGATGTAGTATCAGACTTAACTGATTTAGATTAAACTGGTTTATGGAACTTCTGTCCCAGATACCTTTCCGGTTCAAGTTAACTCACAGTCCCCCAGCATCCCAGGATGCTTTGCAGCCCTGGACTGTGCTATCTGCTCCAGTGGAGCGGGGAGTGCCCTGCCCCTCTGCTCCATAGCCAACTTCTTGCCTGTGTCTATCAACCCATGTGACAGGGGGCAGGGGAACAGACACTCAGACTCCCTAGCCTGGGTCTACACAGCCCTTTTCACTCCTCCACAGTCCTCCTCCCACTGTGGCCAGCCCAGGGAGCTAGACGAATCCCATCCCCCTACACAGCTGCTTACCTTAGGAGCTGCCACAAGAGGGAGGGAGGAGAATTTCCCAAGTCCCCGGGGGTGCAGACATTGGGGAGCCCCTGCCTCAGGACCTCCTTCCAGCCCAGCCCAGGGTCCTCCAGTCTGGGACAGTCCCAGGGAGTGGAGGGGAATTCTCATTTCCCTCTACTCCCTAAGGCTGTCCGGGGCTGTCCTTGAAACTCGAAACAGCTGAGGAAGGCTGCTGTGGGGTTGGGGAGGGGCTGCCCTAGGCTGGGGGGAAGTCCCCTGAGTTGGAGGCTCCCCCAAGGTGTACCAGCACCTGGACAGGCGGCTCCTTGCCCCCCCCACCCTCATGGGAGAACAGCAGTGGGGGTAGGAGCATCTATTGGGGATTGGAGATGCCCCACTTGGCTGGGCTGGCAGTGGCCAGCAGGTTGGGAGATGTGCTGTTGGGCCCCCCACCTACTGGCCTGGGGTCAGTTCAGGCCTCCCCCAGCCTTTCCCAAATGAAAACTGAATGTCAGCTCAGTTGGTTATCAGCTCAATCTACGCAGTTTAGAGGAAGCTGCCTAGATTGGATCAATTCTGCCTTGGGCTTTTTGACTGTTTGTACTTAGCCCCAAGGAATGTCCAGGTTGATTTGGCAGAGCTGTGTTATCAGGACTTGTTATACTTGTAAACTCTGTCCAAAGTGTTAATATTCGCCGCTGCCAACGTGGCTTAACATGAAATACCCAAGAACCCTACCCAGTGGGGTACAGGGAATGGTGAGACTATGCTACACCGCTGCGTAGCCCGTTTAGGGCTCCCGGCTTCTTCAAAGACTAATCCACAGCTTTCTCTTTAACATCACAATCCTCAATTCAGCAGAAACAGTTCCCATGTTTTCCATAACTGCAAAGACACAACCCGCTCTGCAACGAGCACAGCAAGCTTTAGATTCTGGGACTGCCTAAGAAGGCAGAAGACATTACCCAGAAGCAAGAGAAAGTGTACAATTTATTTTCTGCTACACTGTAAAGCCCTCCCACATACAGCAAGTCTTCAGAGGCCTCCTTGCTGTTCTTGGGAATTAAAAGCTCACAGATGTTCATTTTTTTAATTATAGTTGGTAGCTTATAGGACAATAAAAAAAAGAAGTAGGATGCCCTTAGTGGTATAGCCACTGCAGGAAAGTATGAAAACAATGTTATTGAGGAAGATGAAGAACAATTCGGCTATGGGCTCACAGCCAAGCTTTTTAAATATGGGCCAAATGAAGGAGACCTTGACAGGAAACAAAGAATTTGGATGAACATTAAAAAATTAGATAAAACTCTCCAGGGTACACCTGTCTATGTTGATTTGGCAGATATGTATTATCACGATTTGTTATACTTGTAGACTTTGTGCAGTGTTAATATTCACTGCCACGAATGTGGCTGAACACAAATTCCCAGGAACCCGGGAAAGGAGAGCTCACCGGGAGACTGTTACACCACCGGGTAGCCTGCTTAGTGCTCCCGGCTTCTTCAAAGACTCATCAAAGCTTCCTTTTTAACATCACAATCCTCAATTCAGCACAAACATAGTTCCCATGTTCTCCATAACTGAGAAACATGCATATTCAAATTCTTGGGACTCTATTTAAAAAAAAAGTTTATATCACATTAGGGAACACCGAAGACAGCAGATCAGCACTACTCTGTCCCAAAATGAGTGAATGTGTCAGTATGGCGGTTTTTTGTTGTCAGTTGTTAAAAACTTCAGCTCAGAGCAACTGTGAGCTCAAGGTCCAGAATCTTGGTAATATGACAGATTTTTAAATGTCAGTGTGCTAGAGAGGGTTATTTTCTCAGAAAGGTTTCTGTTTGCTCAGTGTAAAAATAAGTTAAAAAAAAAGAAAAAAACCCCAAAGGTCTGAATCAGCCACCTACAGAATCACTCACTGCACAGCCTCAAATTATAAAATGGAAGCAGCAAAGAAAAGAATGGAATTAGAAAGTGGCAGTATTTTCAAATTCATCGACTGTATACATACAGCACAGCAAGCAGCAGGGTTGGGAAAAACAAAAGGTACTTCCCAAAATTTCTGGGGAAAAGAAGGAAAAAACCCAACCTGTTGACGAACTAAAATATCCAGAATAAGTTAATGAGAATAAAGGAAACAGACAGCTACATCAAAACAATTCAAAAGATTTTTCTAGAAAGAACAATATACTACCACTAAACACCCAAGTTTTACTGCAGGTGCCCTGAAAGGAAAAAAAAAAACTCGAATGCCCTTTGCTTGAGGTACCACTAACTGCAAGCTCCATGCAAGCGGAAACAGAATTAGAAATGGGCTGAACGTTTGCCCGGATGAAAGGTGAGGTCAACAAGGATTTAGAAAATGAAGTATTGCATTCTGTTGTGTGCATACACATAAAATACAGAGACCTGCACAGTTCTAGCATTCACTTGTCAGCATTAAAAGGACACAAATTCAATTTGCATGCAACACAACTTCCAAAACATGCAAGAAGGGAAGGAGGGAATGGAGGGAGGAAGGAAGGAAGCTATGCAATTGAAATGGAGAGCTATCCTGGCTCCTGGCTTCAAATCCCTTTCCTCTTGCTGGGTAAGTATGGAAGTCTTCCAACTACTGGCCAAAGACAGATGCAATTTTTGGTAAGATCTTCCAAATCCAACAATTGTGTGGAAAGAAGGGGTGGGGAAAAAAAAGAAGGAACCCTCCAATACACTTGCTCCTCCTCGCCCCCAAATGTGCATGTCTTCATCTGTGTATAGGAGAGAGGTATTTTTGGAGGGGGAGAGGCCAGTACAAAAAGATAAGTGTCACAATGGGAAGTCAAGGCAGGCCCAATTTTTATCCCTATGTATAAAAACTCTAACGTTTTCTTGCTGCCTGGTGACTTCTCAGCCTTAGGCCGCTCTTCCTGCACTTGCCCTTTTAACATTACAAGGTTTCCTTCTCACTGAACTTCTGGAATGCTCTCGGTTTCTTGTTTCATAGGCACGTGGGTTCAATATTATCAGACAGATCATGGTAAAAGGAAAGGACTGAGGACCAGGTTGGTTAAGATAACAGATAGTTTGTATAGTCTAGGCTTATCAAAGTTCTGCTTTATCTGTTTTCTGTCTGATTTAACTACACAAAAATACAAAACCGTCCAATTAAATATCTTAAGAAATGATGTATAGTACATTGCTCCTCCTGCACACTTCCATTCAGCAGAACCTTTCAAGTACCAGTGGTTTAAACCTCCTAATGGCCCTACAATACAGGGGTGAATCATCCATATTCATTGTGCAGAGAACAATCCAGGGCAGAGGGATATGACTTTTGACAAGTCATTTGATAAGAAGCCAGCAAATGCGTTAGAAACAGTACCAAGAATGTCTACCTGTAGCTTATCTTCATGCTATTTTCTTCGCATAGTTTTGGGATAATACTTTAAATCCTTCATCTTCTTTATAT